GGGGGGGGCCGGGGGGGGTGTGGGGCCCCAGCCACTGAGCAGCACAGAGGCGGTGGTGAAGCAGCCGCACCACAGCCTAGCACAGCACGGCCTCCAGGCAGATGGCCACACCAAACACTGCCCGGCGGGGGGCCTGCTTTCCTCTGTACGGAGCAGCAGCTTCTGCTCAGCTGCTGCTCCACATCTCAGCCCCAACAGGTGAGCCCGGAGCTGGCACGGGGCCCAGGCTAGCAGTGGTGATGAGTTACAAGCTGGTGCTCAGTACGCGGAAAAGCGCCCCCTCGCTGTGACCAGCACCCCATGCTGCAGCCACTCAGAGCTGCCTGTACCTGCTCTCCATTGCCACCGCTGCCCCACAGGGTGGTAGTGATGTGGTGGAGAGGCAGGACAGCCCTGTGCAGGCTGCGAGTGGCTGCAGCACAGGGCACTGGCCACAGGGAGGGAAGGGGCCACGTTTTCTCCACACTGAGCACCAGCGTATAACCCATGGGCGAGTGCAGGGCGCATGGGGTCGGGGCTACACACTGCTCCCTGCCTGTACCACGGGGCTGGTGCATGGGCACTAGGAGCGAGTGGGCTGTAGACCTCCTTGCATCTCCATCCATCTTTTTCTCCTTTGTCTTATCATTTTCATTCGTAAAGCTTTTAGGGAATTTAATCAACCTCACCTTTTTTTTTCTGCTCACTGGGTGCATCTACACGTGCTCCCCACAGTGCAGTTGTTACTGCGCCATCATCTAATACATGCTTTAGGAAGTACTAAATAATGGCTCAGTCACAGCTGTTACTATGCCATCCTGGTGGTGTACAGTTATTTTTAGCAGCTATGTTGCCATAGCAATGCACTATAGCAAGGTAGCTCGTCACTATGGCAACATAGCATCGGCATCACGGTTTGTGCCTGCCAGTGCTACATTGCCATAGCAACAAGCTATGTCACTGTAGCGTCACATGTAGCTTCACCCCCTGATTCACAATAATCTCATTGATTTAACTCGTGTCTAAAATCTTTTACTCCACAGGCCATTTCCATCCACCATCTGAGATCTAACTTTGAAAGAATGTGTCATTTTCCAACATAACTTCTGTAACAAACTGGGAGTTGTTTTCTACATTTTCCTTTATGGATGATACCATTCAAAGTAAATTGATACTATAGAATCAGCATCTAGCTCTGGATGAAGTGATATCTAAGTGAAAAGACTCTAGGAGAACCAGTTTCCTTGGCTAAATAAGAAATTAACTCCTCAGAGGAGAACAAGATTGAAAGATATTGCATATAAAATATATACATTTTTAACTGATTTATTTCAGATATCCAGCTGTCTGCCCTACAGTTTGGGAATATGCAGAAGCTAGATGGGCCAACAGAACAATGTGAGGATCCTACAAACACTGTGGACAACTGCACTATTGATTATGTAAGGGACTTTTTTTTAATTCACTAGTTTAAAAAGGGCTTGTCCCTTCTACTGTGAAGAGCTAAGAGAAAGAGGATGTATATACAGATGAGCCCGACTGTACAGTTGTTACTGCGCAGTCATTTAGTATCAGCTTTTAGCAAGTACTAAATGACTGGGCAGGAACTGCTAGTATTGCACAGTCCCAGTGCTACATGGGTTGTTTCCAACCCTACTGTGCAGTAGCAGCAGCATCACCATTTGTCACCACCAATGCCATGTCACCCTAATGACAAGCTGCATCACCATAGCTCGTTACTACAGTGACATAGCGTCTCATGTAGATGGGCCCAGAATCTAATTAAGAATAAAACATAACAAAAAATAACACTTTAAGTGGTCCTCTCTGTTTTGTGAACTTGTGAATTAAACACCATTTTCTGCCCCCTAGGAAAACATGTGCCGGAAAACACTGACTGGACCTGCCTTTTCAAAGTGTAATGATCTACTTGCTGTTAACAAGTACATTGAGTCTTGTGTACAAGACTTCTGTCGCTGTGACCAGTCCAACAATGCCTTCTGCATGTGTAATACTTTTGCTGAATATTCCCGGCAGTGTGCCCATGCTGGTGGGCAACCTCAGAACTGGAGAACTCCACAACTGTGCCGTAAGTTGGAGTTGGCCTTAGCAGTCTTAAGAGTTTGTCAGGAATTATCAGAATTATTTTCCCACACATCTCTGGGGTCTGTGTTTTGGAACCCAGTCCCAAACTACATCTTTCCAGGTTTCTGAAGGTCTAAGGATCCCCTCCCCAGCTCCAGTCCATTAGCCCCTCAAATTCAAAAAGGTAGCTATTGTAAACTGCCAGTTCATGTTGGAAAGTACAAGGAATCCTGAGGCTGGGGGACTCATGCCTTCCCACTCCTACCTACGTCTAGCCCAGGGCCATAAATTTAAGTCCTCCAACAACTCTCACTCTTGTCAACTTCTCCTCTCGACCTCAACTGGCTACTTCCTATCTTCACCCCTTTAACTCTTTAGCCCTCATTCCTATCTCCCAAGTAAGCTTGCCCTCCTGTATCACAGTGGCTAGCCAGGATACACTGAAGTCCTTCATAGTCCCAAAGCTTTTTCTCAACCACAGATCTCTTCTGAGCCCCCAAGTTTTCTGCACACTGACCAGGTCTCCCTTTTTATCCTTCTGTGGCTTGCCTCTGCCTCCTGATTGGGTAGCCATGAAACTCTACCCCTAGTTCCCCCAGTGTTCCTTTGGCTTCCTATGTGGGGTTTACAGGCACCATCACATGAACCCATGGGAATTAAAGGTTATTAAATATGGTAATACTTTTCACAGAACTTCAATAGTTGTAGCTACATGCAGACAGCCAGGAAAGTACACCTGAATTAATGAACAGTGTACATTTAATGGAGTCATTAACATATGAAACCCCTGTGTGGATACAATCATTCCAAAAGAAAGTGTTCTTAGTTCAATTTAGCTCATTTCAATGGGAAATTAAATGAAGGCACCTTAGTTCTTCCTGAGAGTGTCTACACAGCAATGTCATGTGGGTTTAACTAATCCACTGTATAAAATAATCTACATTCATTTTCCTGAGTGCCTTTGTGTAGACATACTCTGAATTAAACAGTTGTCCAGACTACGGAGGCAACCAGTATCTCCTGCATTAAAGTGGGGAGACCAATATTTATCAATGTTGATTCATAGTTATATTCCCAGGGGATAACTAGATTTTGGTGAAATCCACATGATTCAAATATGCGCATTTACTAAGGGCTTAAGTTTTTCATATTTCACAAGCAATGAAGGGGTTCCTGCGAAAAGGTCACTGCAAACCAAACGGGCCAGTGTATACATCTCATAGATCTATGAAAGAGTTTCTAATGTATCGACAAAAATCCAAGCTTCAAGTTACAAACTCAGCATTATATGATAGAACTGCAATTCGAACACATACAACATCACCTGGGATTATCAAACTTCCAAAGCTAGAGGGATGTTTAGATCTGAGGTCTAGTGTAGCCTCCTTTCTAGAAAGAAGGTTGCGATAAATACACATTTTAAGATGTAGCAAATGGTAATTACATTTGAATTAAGAAATCTATCTTTCTTTAAAATTTCAGCCAAGAACTGTACTTTCAATATGCACTACCAGGAATGTGGTTCCCCCTGCATGGACACCTGCAGTAACCCTGAAACATCTACACTCTGTGAGGAGCACTGTATAGATGGCTGCTTCTGCCCTCCAGGCAAGTTTTCATTGTCTCCCACTTCTCATCTCAAAAAAGACCAGCAGCTATTTGAGTGTAGACATTTAGCTGCACTTCCATAACTCAGAGCTCCCCCAAAGGTACTTTTCACAGTTTGAAGTAGGAAGCATTTATCTGTGCATAACAAGTAAAGAATACCACAATAGTGAATAATTAATTTCCTATAAGTGTGCAACATCTGGAAAGTGGTAAAGAAGAATTAGAACAATTAATTTCAGAATGTCTCCCATGACTTAACATCATGGCTGTTCTACGGCAAAGGAGTGTCTTTTATACAGCAACTCAGCACTATTCCATTTATTTGCCCTACAGGACTTGTAAGACAAGTGGAAATTTAAACTCTCCAGGACCAGATCCTTAGATGATGCAATTTAGCATGCTTTGCTGACTTCAACAAAGCTATGCCTATTTAGAGCTGCCAATGAACTAGTTCCAAAACTATTTGTGGCACTCTATTTAAGGCCAAAAAAAATCTGTATGTGTAAAATGCCTTTTTGATATATTGATTTTTTAAATTCATTTAGGAACTGTGTTTGATGACATTACCACTTCTGGCTGCATTCCCCTTCAGCAGTGCTCCTGTACCTACAATGGTAACACTTATGCTCCAGGGACGTCTTATTCAGGCCCATGTCACAACTGGTAACTTGCTTCTTTTGTTGCTCTTTCCTATGGAGTGAACTAGCTTCATTGTTTATCAGTTATGAAAGCCTCAGCAGCAACCCTTAAGTACATATTACTGACATTACTGCAGTACCTGTGTGAGCTTAGAAACAGAATTGCCCTTCTCTTTTTTTAGTATTGTTATTTAACATGTTATTGCATACCATTTCAAGTTGTTCGGGATAAGGAATTGTAATATGTAGATTTCTTACTGCTAACTTAAAATGATCTCACTTTGCTTACTTCTTTGAAGTATTTGGATTTTCATAGAATCATAGAGAAGTAGGGCTGGAAGAGACCTCCAGAGGTCATCTAGTTTAATCCCCTGCCTGAGACAGGATCATCCCTATCCAAACCATCCTCTACAATCTATGATCTAAATTCCACATCAGATTACCATCAACCCTGACACATCACAGACATAACACTAAGATAAGAAAAGGGGTCATTCACACACATTTGCACATGTTTTTTTCCTCTGAAGAAATCATAAAAAGATATAGCAGGGAAGAACAGTAGCAAACCAACACTGTGTAAATAGTTTATAAATGCCTTTCTTCAAGGCTAATATCACTGATGTTGATTAACTTCTCCCCTTCTCTTCTAGTACCTGCACTGGAGGCAAATGGAGCTGTGAAGACATTCCATGCCCTGGAACTTGTTCAGTCATAGGAGGCTCACACATCTCCACATATGATGAAAAGCATTACAATGTCCATGGAGACTGTACTTATGTTCTCTCTAGGGTAAGCACCACCAAGTAATCCTTGGTCACAAAATCTAATAGTTTTATTGAGGTAGGACTAGAAGGGCTGTGAGTATGCAGATTGGGGAAGCTCACTGTAAAAGAGAACACTGAAAGATTTCCAATAGACACAGAAGAGCACTGTAGTGAGATAGCATATATTGCACTTCATGCAAAATCAATCTATTATCTGTGATGCTGGAAGTACTGATGTCCAGAACAAATACTGAGGTATTTCCAATTCCATAATGATGCAAACATTAACAAATTATGACTTCTTAAAGGCTGCATTTGGTTTATCTTCATAACAGTGATACAATTCATCCCCTTTTGTAGGGTTGCATGATTTTTTCCATGTAATAATATTTGATACTATCAGTCAGGGCTATGAAATAACTGATTTTGTGGCTAGCTGGCAGTTCTGGAAAAGTGCGGGGGGAAGTGGGCTGACACAGAACAATATATATATACTTAAAATTAATAAACTTAAAAGTAGAAAAGAAATTCATGAAATGAAACATTTCATTGCAATTTCAGATATTTTTAATAATTCTTTTTAAATAAGCATAAAGATACTGAAACTAAACATTATTTGAATCAACCTATTTCATTTTAACATTTTTTTTTAATTGTCTAGCTTTTAAATCAGGTCAAGTTGGGAAAAGTCAGATATAGAACTGAGTGGAAGCAATTTTTAAAAATGAACTTGAATTAAAACTCTGAGTCTGAACACCATCAAAGTAGATCTAAAGCCAGATCCAGAACCCAGGGCTAATCCGTCTCTACAATGAGCTAAACAACATTACAGATCCAAGAAGTCCTAAGCTTGAGAGAGTTTGGACCAACCTCTACCAAATGTTATCAGAGGTCTATTTAACAAAAGAATCTCCTGTGGGCAGTCTTTAATGTTGCTGGAATTTTTTTTTCAGGACTGTGAAAATGACACCTTCACCATTTTGGGGGAACTTCGCAAATGCGGCCTGACAGATACCGAGACATGCCTAAAGATGATAGCCCTCATCACTAACAAAGAGCAAACAGTAAGTGTCCCATTCAAGAGCTGAACATGCTGCTGGATTAGATTACTTTATACAAATATGAGGCATAAGAAAGTCAGGTCAGAATGAGTGGGTCATTTATTTCTCTAGGGCAGGGATGGCCAAACTGCAGCATGCGTGCCACAAATGGCACAGGCAGCCTCTGCTTGTGGCACACAGCAGATGAGATGGGGGATAGTCTGCACAGTGGCAGATAGGGCAAAGAAGCAGACAGAAGAGCAGTAGATCAGGCAGACAAAGGGGACAAACGTGATAGTTGGGGAGGGTGTGGGGCTTAATCTGTAGCACATCTGCCAAAAAGTTTAGCTCCTACTGCTTTAGGGTTTCTATTTCTGTCAAATTTATCTTAGTTTTGTAAATGAAATTAAAATAAATCTATCTGTTGTAATAATGAGGTAAATAGTACATTCAGGTTTTGTAAGTTCAGTAACCAAAATACTTGATTCAAAAAGCAGAAGAAAGTTTCTTGCCTTTGCTAAGGAATGAATAATCCATGAATTTCTTGACTTCTCAGAAAACCAATAACTGTATTGACCATTAGGGCTGTGCAAAGCTTCAGTCCCTGGTTCAATTCGGCAGAGATTCAGCCTGATTTGGTGGCCAAATCTCCAGATCCGAATCGAATCAGGAGACCCTTCAATCTCTCCAAATCGAATCGGAAGCCTCCAAATCGATTTGGAGAGATTCAGAAACATTTGGTGATTCAGCCATAGACACAGCTTTAAATGTTTTTTCTACATACCTCAAGGTACCAGGCATGGATTGTGAATGCTACAATGGCAGGGTGGATGGAGCGTCCCACAGGAGCGTGGGGGGCTCCCCAGTGTGCTCGGCAGCAGACCGAAGCACTTCCAATCCACTTCTGGGTCCGCCACGGAATGCGCTGGGGGGAGCCCCCATGCCTCCGTGGCTTGGCAACTGGTGCATCCTGAGTCTGGGGGGGCACCCAGGCCCCGCCCCCCCATGCTCCTATGGGATTCTCTATCTGCCCCAGCATCGCAGCATTCACAAGCTGTGCCTGGCATCCTGAGGTATGTAGAAAAAACATTTAAAGCTGTGTCTATGGGTGAATCACTGATTCGCCAAAGCAGCATAAAATCTTCAGATTTGGATTTAGCCAAATTGAACTGGGGATGCTGATCTGAATCAACTAATCAAATCACTGTCCCCGATTCAGGCTGAATCTGAATCCAAATAAAATAAGGCCCAACAAGGAACCATGGGTGACTGGTGCCTCCCAAGTCGGGGGGGGCACCTGCAGAAGCCAGTGGCAGTGGTAGCAGCAGGGATGGGGTGGGCAAGCACCCGCAGAAGCTGACATCGGCAGCAGGGGTGGTGCTAGTGAGCACCCTCAGAAGCCGCCAGTGGCGTCGGCAACAGGGACGGCCCTGTGAGGGTGGCTGTGTGCCCCTCCGTGCCCCCCCTACCAGTTGCCTATGCAAGGAACCCTGGTGTCTGTGGAAGTCATGATGTCCTGGCCTATGCTAGAGCTCTATAAAGAAATGAGAATGACTCCAAAACAATTTATTTTATGGTAGAGAATGTACAAGATAATGAAAGGGGGAGAGCTGGAGAAATAACCTCTGTCCATGAAACACATGAGGATGTATTGGGATATCATCTTGTAATATTATTAAGTGACACATTGTTCCTTTACACTTCTTTATTTCCTTGCCAGATCATTGTGATTAAGCCTGATGGTGGTGTATTTTTAAACAGTTTCTATACTCAGTTGCCCATCTCAACAGGTATGTTTCTCTTTTAGGGTCAGTGGGTGGCACTCTCTATTACTTCAAGCTACAGAAGAGCAGAATGTTGTGGGTCACTAGCATGTAATGTAGCATGTACTTCCAAACCTTATCATGTTCATGTAGTAATTTGTCACTGTGATGCCTCTTGCCCCATACTGTGCATCTGGTGGTAGTCTGATTTACAGAAAGATTTATGAGACATTACAGTCTGCTGTCCACATTATTGCAATGTTGATTTGTTTTTGCTGTCTGTCCTCATAATGATATTCAGTAAGACTTTTATACTATCCAGACCCTGCTTGTTGTCCTTGTAGCACAGTGGCTTCCAGGGGTGGCCATTGGCTAGGGAATGAGGGTTCTTCAGTGCAGGGCTAGCCAGAAGGCAGCACCTGCACTGAAGCACCGTTGTGCTCCAGCCAGCTGTGTTAGTGTCTACACGTGTGTTGTGGAGTAAATAATCCCACCAAAGGGTAATACTTGTGTTTATAAGTACTAACCTACAGCAGAGTTAATTAATTTACTCCATCCTAATAGCACTGCATGTGTAGATGCCGAGACATTTACTGTGAAGCGAGTTAGGCAATTCCACAATAAACTTCTGATGTAGATGTCCTCACTGAGATTCACTATAGTTGCAGCAAGAAGCCCAAGAAGAGAAGCCATACCAATCAAGCAATGTTTTATAGCATTTGGTCTCATCTGGAAATGGATTGTTCTGCTTTTTTGTCCTTAGCTGATGTGACCATCTTTAGACCTTCATCCTTCTTTGTTATCGTGCACACAAATTTTGGTCTCCAGATGGAGATACAAGTCACGCCCTTCATGCAAGTGTTTGTGCGACTCGATCCATCTTTGAAAGGACAGACCTGTGGTAAGTTAATTTAACATAAACATATTAACCTGTCCAAATCCTCTTTGGACTTGTGTAAATGTTTTAAATGCATAATGCTTTTTCAACAGGTCTCTGTGGAAACTTCAACAATGCCCAGCTTGATGACTTCAAAATAATAAGTGGTGTAGTTGAAGGAACAGGAGCTGCATTTGCTAACACCTGGAAAACAAAGCCTTCATGCACTGACATCAAAAATAGCTTTGAAAACCCTTGCTCCCTCAGTGTAGAGAATGGTACGTGCATCACAGATTTTTTTTGTCATAAAACATATTGTACAAACAATTTGAAATTATCTGTCGGGGGGGGGGGGTTCTAATGTAACAAAAAGCACTTGACATAAGAGCAAAAATCAACAGCATTAAAGTATCCAAACTTGGTAAAATGTACTTTTGAAACTAGAAAAAATATTCATACAAGAAGTTATTAAGAAGTTAAGCAATAAAATAACTGAGAATCAAGGAAACAGTCCAAGAACAGAAAACTGCAATCTTTGATTCAGAGATGGCATACAAGCTGATGATTCAGAGCAGAATAGGTGTGCAGCCGTCAAATGTTTGTGGGGCATTGGTTCATCCTCCATTCATTCCAGGGCAAGCATCTGTTTTTCACAGATCCCAGAAGTCTTTCCTTCCCAAGTGCAGGGGGGCTGGACCTGATGATCTGTAAGGTCCCTTCCAGCTCCTAATAACTATGAAACTAATCTTAGCCACATGTGGCAGCATAGCAAAACAAAGGTGGTGGTCACCAAAGCATCATTTCTGAATGGTTTTATGAAAGCATATGATTCATTGAAGATCATGTGAACAGCAGCTTTCCACATCTGATGCAATACAAAAAGTGTGAGTATGAATTCACCTTATTTCCTCTATTCACAGAAAAGTATGCTCTGCACTGGTGTGGAATGCTGACCAACAGCACAGGACCTTTTGCTGCTTGCCATGCTACTGTGAACCCCTCTTCTTACCACACGGTACTTTGCTAGGTTTCTTTTTCTTTAAAACCAGTGGGACTCAGATCATTAAATCAAGCTATCGAAAAAGATATAGCACAAATACAACTCCCATGTTATGCTTTACCTATATTTTAATCTGGAATGGCATAGTTGTTGTATCCATGATGGTTCAACAATATTAGTAGGTCAGTTTGTGAGGTGACATGAAACTATATTTTAGCATTTATAGTACATCACCTCTTACAGCCTGGGTACTTTTCTGCTTATATATATGTTGCCTTTTTCAGTCTGTGGTCTTGGTTCCATTTTCTGGAATTGCCTTCAAATGCTTTCTTAAACAAATACTGCTATTTGCCTGAAATCAAATTAAAACAACTATAAACATACACATAGGGGGGGTTTGTATGATCATATCACGTCCTTATTCTAGATGGAGTTTGGGTTGCTGAACTAAAATCACTGTAATAATTTTTATATTCAGATGGGTATGAGATATTGCTAAGCATATTGCTTAGCTCTTTGGCCCTTAGTTTACCTCTTTCATTGGAAAGAGCTACATCTCTATTGATTCTCTCTGAACAAAAATTTTAACAGCTGGTAGGTTAAAATAAAGGTTAGTAGAAATGGCTCAAAACTGAAAATAAAGGTTAGTTGAAATGGCCTAAAACTGAATATACCTCGAGAAGAAGCTAATAAATAAGAACAAAAGGTAGATGTAAAATGTCTTTGGGTAGAAGGTTCTGTTATTCATGAGATTTTCTTCCTGCACTCCTAGAATTGCATGTTTGACACTTGTAACTGTGAAAAAAGTGAGGACTGTATGTGTGCCTCCCTCTCTGCCTATGTGCGAGCTTGTGCAGCCAAAGGAGTCCTGCTGAGTGGATGGAGGACTAACGTCTGTTGTAAGTGCTAAAACCCTTTGCTTGACTTCCTGTTCCAAAAGGTTAACCAAAGATTATTTTATAGCAATTTCAAAGCAATCCAAGAATCTCCCAGTAAATTCTGAAGAAAAGGTTTTAAGAAGTGAAAGCCTAGCAATATTTCCCCAATATTTCTTAAAAATCCAGAGGGGAAAATTCCCCTCCAGATTCTAAATCTTTTGACAGGGAATATAAAGAGAAGGAAGGCACAACTACAATTAGGAGGGAGACAACTGCTGCTGATGTGGCTCTGCCTCTCTCTGCTGAGCCTTTGAAGCTAATCAGTTTCACTTGTTGCTAGTTGCCATAGTGATAAATATGGCTGATTATAAAAATAGTAATTCTAAACAGAACACTTAAAAATAGAAAACATTTAAGCAAAGGGTGGCTTAAAGCCAAAGACTAGTTTTCACTTATCCTATAGGCCACAACAGCAGAAATACCTCCTTTTTTAGGAGGCTTCACACCTCACAGTGGACATTTAGATGTACCAGGTATTAACTACCAGCCTTCTGTGTTGTTTCTCTTTCTACATCCGATTTGAATGCATATCATCTCTCATTTGCATATATCATTTCATTTACTCCCCATTTACTCCCTTTATTTGTAGCTAACTATGCATTATTTAGCTCTTAAAGCATTCTGGCATTTTGCATGAAAAAAACAACACAGAACAAAATTATATAGTATCCTTGTTCCCCCATTATTCATACAGCATATTCCTCCTTCCTCTCCATCATCACATGATGTCACTCCAAATGAACAAATCTATTAATTCATTTTGTTTTTCCCTCTTAAGCCAAATACACAACAACGTGTCCCAAATCCCTGAGTTACAGCTATGTCATCAATTCCTGTCAACCCACTTGCCAGTCTCTAAGTGAGCCCGATGCCACATGCAACATAAAGTTTGTTCCAGTTGATGGCTGCACTTGTGTAAATGACACTTACATGGATGAAAGTGGCAAATGTGTGCCTGCTAGCAGATGTCCCTGTTACTACAAAGGATCTCTTGTGCCCTCTGGGGAAGTAGTTCATGAAGATGGTCATGTATGGTAAGAGATTTTCCTGTAAAACACTAAAACTACCGGTATTTCTTATAGAATTTCTTAATAACAGACTATGCCTCATTTAAATTGGCTGTACTCAGACCTGCCTGAATTTTAGTACAATGTTCTTCCATGAATCCCTGTTAGTCTTCAAGGATGGTGTATTTTTCAAGATTTATTAGCATAATTGCACGTAGAAGAGAGTTCTCTTGTACTGAATCATTTCCCACCATAAAATAGACAAATGTGCCAAAAGGGAGAGGTTAAAGGCTACAGTAAGCAGAAAACTCATAGAGAGACCTTGTCCCATTATATTTTTTCCTGTATATCTATTGTCAAAATGATATGCAAATCCAGTAGCAGATGGGTGGAAAACAAACTCTTTTCTGAATATATGGTGGTGCTTTAGAATTTCATGGTCTCTTGGAAAGTTCGGAAATACAGCAAGAAAAAAATCAGCCTCAATATACACAATTAAAAAAATAATAACTTTCTTCCCTTTCTCACAGCACGTGTGCAAAAGGAGTGTTGAACTGCATTGGAACCAAAAGCCCAGAGCCAGGTAAAATCCCTTCTTTAGCTTTCCTTTGATTTCAATCATACTCTTCTTGCTTCGAAAAACCAAATCTGAAACCCCCAGGAAAGTCAGTGGACTCGAAACATTTGCTTATATATATATATATACTTTTTAAAATGAAATATCACTCTATACAATCCATTCAGCAAAAAAAGACAAAGAAAAATAAACACAAGAGTAATACATTAGTGATCATCAAGAGTCATAGCATCATATTATTTCTTAGAAATGGGTACTAGTCGCACAAAAGCAATTGCATTCCTTTTTTATTACACTAGGTATAGATCATTTAGAAAGTACAGTACACCTCACTGACACCCTTTTCGCTTACTAGCCAAAGGAAATGTTCAGAACCTGGAGCACTTCTAACTCAGATGTGCCCCTCATTTGTACTGCTGTGTAAACTCTGTGCCATATATCATATCTCATGTCACTCTCTCCCCTAGTCTGCACTTCTCCCATGGTCTATTTTGACTGCAAAAACATCACTGCAGGAACCACTGGGGCTGTGTGTCAGAAAAGCTGTCAGACTCTTGATATGCACTGCGTAAGTATGGAAAGCCTGGAAAAGATGGGTTTGTAGACAACTATTTTTTGTTCAAACTCTTTTACACTAGAATAATTCATTGTTTATTAATTTGGTTCTGAATCGCCCATACTGAAAATCTGCTGTTTAGCAAGATAGTATTACATTAAATAAATTGGATTCTAATATAATACATCAAAAATAAGAACACAATAAAAAATATTTTTTGGACTTTTCATCTACTCACACACAGATCATCCAATAACACCCAATTCAAATTCCAAGGTTCCCTCACCTAATACAGGCTAGTATCTTATGTAGTACTCCTTACGCTTTCACAAACCACAGGACACCTACTTAGACTGGGCATATGAAATGCTTACTTTTAACAGGTTTGGTCATTCACTAAATCTTTGTCTAGCAATTTAAGATTTCCGATTTAAGTCAGATTAAAGCAAACCTAATAGAGAGACATGTTAGGAAAACCTAGTCTTTCCCCCTACTCCACTGGGTTCATTCTGAAATTATATTTTTCTCTTGGCTTTCACAGTACAGCACACAATGTGTATCAGGCTGCATGTGCCCTTCTGGGCTGGTGTCAGATGGGAAAGGTGACTGCATTACTCAGGAAGAATGCCCATGTGTTCACAATGAAGCTATGTACAAGCCAGGAGAACAGATCAAAGTGGGCTGTAATACCTGGTATGTATTCATGGAACAGCACTGTTCATGATCCCATAACTTGCCTATCCAAAGATCCATATCCAGTTAGTAGAGCCATGAGATGGGATTTTGTGCAGTCGTGCCAAATAGGTTTTCTTCTGTTTGAATGCAGATGTCCAAAAAAAAAATAGCACTCAGGAAATATTTGGGTTTGAGGTGTTCAAGCAGTAGTATCCATATTGCTATATTCAGGCTTGTGTAATAGATCTTGTGTACATGGAAGAATTCCAACCTGAGCTCAGCTTTAACATGGACTGATGCATATGATGACATACCAAAGTGTCAGAGTTCAGCTGGACTAACAAGTGTGTCATTTTTTTTTAATTAAAATGATCTCTCTTCCTTCTTAGTGAATGTAAGAATAGGATGTGGAGCTGCACCCAGCATCAATGCCTGGGTACTTGTGCTGTTTATGGAGATGGGCATTACATCACCTTTGATGGCAAACGGTTCAGCTTCAATGGAAATTGTGAATACACACTGGTCCAGGTACTGAGCTTCTTTTTCAGTATGAATACTCAAAAAGTAAGCTTTATCCTATCTATGGTAATAATCTGTCTTTCAAACTCCCTTTCCCTCCTCAGGACCACTGCAGCAATGATGGCACAGCCAACGGAACATTCCGAGTGATCACTGAGAACATCCCTTGCGGCACCACAGGAACAACCTGTTCAAAGTCTATAAAAGTCTTCCTAGGGGTCAGTAGAGCTTATAGTACATATTTGCTAAGAATAGTTTTATTGTGTTTCCATTTTGAGGTTCAAAAGAAGCCAGAATATTTACTGCTCTGACCCACATTCAGAATTATTTTTCCCAAAGCAAATAGATTTGTAAAGTGTAGTTAAACCAAAACCAAAACAAAATAGTTGGTAGAACTTCCAATCTTACTTTTTTCCCAAAGCTCTCCTTTGCAGGACAATAAAAGCTTTGCTATCCAGCACCCCAGGAAAGGGGGATGCCAGATAACAAAATATGCCGCTGTCCTTGCCTGTTCAGGCCACCATTTCTCCCGCCACGTCTGGGGTGTTGCTGCCCCTCCCACGGCATCACCGGCCCTCCTGTGGGCCCTGCGGGCCCTGCAGAACAGGGAGGCAGGCCCCACGCAGCCTGTCATGCCCCCAGGCCATGGCGGCTCAGCAGCGCAGGCTGCTTTGCCCCGGGCCATGGGGGCCTGGCAAAACCAGAAGTGCCACGGTGGGCACTTCTGGTTTCACTTTACCTTACAAGCCGGCATGCTGGTTAGTGGAACTTTTACTGTACTTGAAACTACTTGACAGTACTTCAGCTCTCCAGGAAAATTATATTAGGGGGAATATGGCCCACTGTGCTTTAAAACACATTTATATCCCACATGATAGTGCCCCTATAATCACAGATGCTACCTGCTTGGATTGACTTCAACCATTTAAAATAGGTTTATAAAAACTGCTGCGCACTTCTTTGACATTAACCATTAGATCTCAATTCAGAGATAGATGGAGATTGAATTATTAATTAGATTAGATTTACCTCATTAGTTATAAAAAGAAATAATAGCTCATTTTCATTTTAGTTGGTTAAAGAGCAAGTAGATATTAAAGATAAATGTATAGTAAAACCACTTCCATACGTTTGTGGTGGGCAAGTGCTTCTTCTGCTAAGATTATTTTTAATCATAATTTCTTTGATTTTTCTCCCTGTGTTAGAATTATGAATTGATACTCAATGAGGAGCACTTCCAGGCAGTAAAGAGGGGTGATGGACAGGAAGTGCCATACAAAGTCCACTACATGGGAATGTACTTAGTGATTGAGACCGTCAATGGACTGCACCTTATGTGGGATAAGAAAACCAGCATCTTCATCAAGCTCAGCCCTGATTTCAAGGTGAGGATCTTAAAGCCACGAGACTGCTGCCAACTGTCATGCTGATAAAAAGGATCAATTATCATATTTCACAAATGAGGAAGTTGTGTGGAATTAAATGAAGCTGAGAACATAAATGAAAGTCTCTTGTAACATACCATTGTGTATTTTCAAGCCCATCTCAAAACCAGGTGTTGAAGACAGTGTGTACCTCATCGTAGTAGTGCTTACTTTTGTAGCTCATGATCTACAGAAAGGCGATGAAACAACACTGGAAATGGGAACTTGGAGTTGCAAGCAAAATACAATTAATATTTATTATTGTCAAAAAGCATCCCAGGAAAGAACAAGCAGCAGATTATATGCCGCTATTGATAATTATTTCATGACAGCTTGGCAAAGTTCTTATCTATGAATGTATATTGAATATCTGTACAAAACAAGACATAAGCAAAAGAGACAATAACAGAGGATTTTTCATTTCTATGATAATGTCATAACTCACCAGTGACAGGGCAAATGAAACATGCTTTTTCTGATGTTTGAATTTAATAGGAGTATATAGCTAAAAATGCTAGCATGCTAAATGATGAAACTTTCTGTGCTCCCTCATTATTTTATTTTCTTCTTTGTTCAGGGTCAAGTCTGTGGCCTATGTGGAAACTATGATGACAATGACATCAATGACTTCACCACCAGGAGTCAGTCTGTAGTAGGAGCTGTGCTGGAGTTTGGAAACAGCTGGAAAATATCTTCTTCTTGTCCTGATGCCAAATGCGTAAAGAATCCATGCTCTACTAACCCTTACAGAAAATCCTGGGCAGAGAAGCAGTGCAGCATCATCAACAGTGATGTCTTTTTGGCCTGTCACCCTCAGGTACAACAATTCCTTGAAGCAGAATTCTTCTGAATTAAGGCTATATGTTAATATTATTCCTGTGCCTGTGTCTTTGACACTACATTATTATTCCCTCCATTCAGTTAATTATGTGGGTAGCCTACTCTTAAACTAGTACATATGTCCTAAGTATGGCTCAGAACAGTCACACTGGACTGGTAAGGGTGGTCAGAATCTGGAATGGGCTTCCAAGGGAGGTGGTGCTCTCCCCTACCTTGGGGGTCTTTAAGAGAAGGCTGGATAGGCATCTGGCTGGGGTCATCTGATCCCAGCACTCTTTCCTTCCTAGGCAGGGGGTTGGACTCGATCTGTTGAGGTCTCTTCTGACCCTAGCATCTATGAATCTATGGATATAGATCCATGTCTCAAAGTTAGGGGGGTTAGAACTAACTTAGACATTCATAACCAAGGGTCATCTCTACTAGATACCTTTGGCTGTTGTGGAATTCCATCCATTAAAAGATAAGTCTGAACCTATTCCAGGTGGACTATTCAGAGATTTCATTTTCTCCCTATTCCAGTAGGACTATCCTATTGAAAAGAAACCCTCATACACTGTGACACAACTTCATAGCTGGTATGCTTCACTTTGAATTATCACAGGTAAACCTCAGGCTGGTTTATTTTGCCCCAGTGGATGATTTCTAAACAACAGAATAGACAGTTCCTCTGTCAGGAAGCATCCATGTTTTTCCAATGTACAAGAAAAGTAGTCTTAAAATAAACTGGTATCCAGTTGGTTTCTAGACTATGATGGTTGCTATTTTCTTGAAATGCCATGTACAGAATACAAGCTGTCTCCCTGGGTTAATTATTAGCATGTTGGAGTGGTAAGGGGAAAGTGTCACTTGGGACATCAACAGCCATTACTAAATCACACAGAAAACAATGTATGCTAAAACTTGCTCTTTGTGATACGCTAATACTTTCCATAGAAACAAACCTTGATTTTCAAACATAGTTACCTAACTAGATGGTCCAAATCCTGCAAATATGTTGATGTTAATTGTTATATATGTGATTTAAACACACCTGTTTTGGCCACCTTGTGTAGGAAGAAGCATCAGCCTGCTTTGTCTAACAGTACAGGAAGATAAAGAAATTGCTGATTTGGGCCTTTTTTTAGTATTTCAAGATCAGAAGGAGAATCATTCTAGCAAAGCAAGATGCAACCTGAGAAAGGAAGGCTTATGCCAACTATTGGCTTTTCTTACAGGTTGATGCAAAAAAATACTATGAATCATGTGTGACTGATGCATGTGCCTGTGACAGTGGAGGAGACTGTGAATGTTTCTGTACCGCAGTAGCTGCCTATGCTCAAGTATGCAGTGAATTTGGAGTCTGCGTGGCCTGGAGAACACCATCAATCTGTCGTGAGTATTACCCCTTCACTTAATGGAGACTGAACGGATATTACTGCAATTTCAAGGCAAATCTACTGAGAATGCTTTTAAATGTATGACAGCAATTGGTTCTCAAGACTCATTAATGTCCCTGCACAAGAACATGCTGCCCTTCTTACACATATAGAATATACCTATACATACCTGTGGGGCTTCCTGACAACCACATGGTGTCTAACTATCACGTTGAACCGGACTGGTGACACTATCTGTGAAGGGGGCTAGATCAGATCAGGGTGACCAGCGTGTGGCACAGGTGCCACAAGAGGCATAGAGATCAGGGAGGGGACAAGAAGCACAGTGGCAGATAGGGCAAGGAACAGAAAGAAAAGTAGCAGATTGGGCAGACACCACAGGGAAGGAAACAGATCAGGAAGTACATCAGACAAGGAAAGGGGATCAGAGTGACACTTGGTGGGGGAGGTATGGGGCCAATTTGTGGCATAACTACTAAAAAGGATGGTCCCCACTGGATTACATGAACCTGGAGGTCCTTTTCAATCCTATGATTCTATGGCGATTATGCAGATTCAGCTCTTAGTTTGTGATTTTCACAACTAGTCAAGCAGCATGACTGTGGTATAATGTCTAAATAATAAATCAACAACACAACATTTTGTTCTGAACATGTCTGTTTTCCTGTTTACTCTAGCTATGTTCTGTGATTATTACAACCCAAAGGGGGAATGTGAATGGCACTACAAGCCTTGTGGGGCTCCCTGCATGAAGACCTGTAGGAATCCAACTGGAAGATGCCTTAATCAGTTCTCAGGCTTAGAAGGTAAAAAGAACCACAACATTACCCCTGTCACTGTAGAGTACATAACTGGTGACACTATTTTGCCAGATCAATTATTGTTGGACCAAATTCTCTCTTCAGTTGCATTGCTAAGATCTATTTTTTTCCATCAGTGTCACATCTGCATAAATAAAGGTAACATTTTGTCTTACTCAGAGACAACCGTAGCAGGGTGTGAAGCCCAGGGCAAATCAACTGGTACAGGGCCTGGATGCCGCAGCGGGTGGGTGGGGAGGGGGTGCAGGAGTTAACTCCAGTTAGTACACACAGCTCCTTCTACATGAGCTAGCATACCCTGTCTAAGAATGACCACATAGCGAAACAACACTCAACCTGTATAGAAAGGTCTGATAAACAGTACAGAGGAATTAGCATTGTGCTTGAATTAACATGGTGATCTGAAAAGCAGATGGTGGTCTGTTCTAACTTGAGCTGCTTCATCCCCACTTGTGTTACTAATAACACTATCATCAGCCTTACAGCTTCACTACATTCTGCCTCAGTCAGTCCTCCAACCGGACAGGAGCTATGTTTTAAATACTACTTAACTTGAGCTAGATATTTTTGTGTGTGCCTGGAAATCAGGCCAAGAGCAAAGCTCAAGTTATACTTTGAGCCAACAATGCAGTGAAGATAAAACCTGAGTGGTCATCGGGTGCTTGGATCACCTGAGAGAGACATAAGTAAAGAGAAATATTTTTAAAGACCTATGAAAGCACTGAGATATGAATGGGCACATCTACACTTGCACTTTAATGCTCATTAGCCTATTTTAATGTATATTAAAGTCACAAAAAACATACTCTTTAGGTAATGCACATTAAAATAGGCTAATGCACCTTTTTCTAGTACCTCACAAGGAAAGTACTAGATTTGATGTGCATTACCTACAATGCATTAAAGGACATGTCGATGCGCCCAATAAGTTCTTTGCTCTACAAGTCCCACATGCATTTATCAGTTTCTATCGGTTATAAAGGACAGCTTAGAAAAAGAGGAAGCCAAAGCAAGTTTGGCTGGAAGTGGTTCTCCAAATTTAGAAACACCTTATTCCAGAGAAATATAGGCAAAAGTAGAAAAAAAGGAACTATTTTCTGTGTAAAGGTTCTTCTTAAATACATGCCATCTTTTTTTGTTGCAGGGTGCTACCCAACCTGTTCACCAGACAAACCATATTTTAATGAGCATACGATGAACTGTACTGATACCTGTGGATGTTATGATGATCTAGGAAACTATGTGGAACCAGGAAAGACCTACTCACAGGACAGTTGTCAGTTATGGTAAGATTTAATAGCCAGGATGACCATGTGGAGGGGAAAGAATCAAAGCACTCTGAAAATTGTGTGCCCCTGCCCCTATGGGAACATGAGAGACCTTGGTTTTCTCCGTTTAAAAATTGCAAAATCTCTGATTTAAAACCCCCAAATCTGCATTTTTCCAGTAAATAATTAAAATGAAGCGCCATTATATATATATAGGTGCTTCATTTTAATTGTGTGTGTGTGTGTATGTATCAATTGAACATAATATTTTATTGATATATTTACAATTCTGAAGCAATTTGGAAGACTACCAGTGCTTCCATCATTATAATAAAATACATTCTAAATACTTATATATTTTGGCATTTGATTTTGGTTTTTCTAAGGAGCTGAGCAGCTTTATAGGAAGTCATTACATAAAAAGATTTGTTTCTGTGGCATATTTCACAGTCATATGCAGTTTATATTAATTATAAATACTGTCTAGTATTTGGACATTTTCCTTTTTCTTACCTAGACAAGAGAAGGGTGAGGAATGTGTAGTTTTTCTCAAGACTTGTGTCTGCAGCCTCCCATGATCCTTGAGTTCATGTTTCTGCAGGAGGTGGGGCATAATGAGATGTCTGTGGCAAAAAATGGCAGGAAGAAATGCTGACATGAACTAAACATTAAGGAGAAAGCATAAGAAAGGGGCTGGCACGATCAGAAGAAACTGGGGGAGGAGTGAATCCTCTTTTAAGCCTCACACCGACCCATGCTGGCCCATTGCCAGAACTGCCCAAAAAGAGGAAGAAAGAGCTTTTAGTTGGGCCATGAAGAAGGCACTGTGAGCAGCAAGTAGTGCCTCTTCCTAACTAGTCAGCGTTTGAATGATAGCTGCTCATCTCCTTAGAACAGGAGTGCAGAATACAAAAAATGCATTTTTCAATTCCTTTCTGAGCAGTAAGCTAAAGGATTTACATAGAAAGTGCTTGAAATACAACAGAACAGAAAATCACTTCAGTAGAACTTAGCTTCTCACCAGCAATATGAAAAGTGGTGTTTGACAATAAGGGGTCATATTTGCACGGGCAGCCTGAACACATCCTTTGGTGTTCACCAGGGATTCAGGTTTTCTTTCCCTTACTGAGCATCCTTTGCCCCAGCCAGCTGGGGTAATGTCTCCATGTGCATTCTTGCACACAATAAAACTCTGCAGCAAGACAGTATGTGTAGTTTACAAATACTGCCAGCTATCCAAAATCTGAATTTTCATCAAATAATGACTCAGGGGGCACATCTATATGAGACATTTACTGCACAGTTGACTTAACTGCACAGTAAACGTCTCGGCATCTACACATGCACCCATATTAGGGCACATGAAACTAATAAACTCCACAGCAGGGCAGTATTTGTAAACTACAGGTACTACCTTGCTGCAAAGATTTACTGTGCACAGCAGCGCACATGTAGACATTGCCCCAGTTGGCTGGGGCAAAGGGTGCTTCAGTAAGGATCTAGCCAGCAGTCAGCCCCTGTACTGCAGCACCCACATGCCCCAGCCAGCCAGTCCACAGCATATGGAGCCTGGTTGGAGCATCCCTGGGCTGGCAGGCCTACCCCTCAAGTCCCTTGCTAGCCCAGGCTGCTTCAGACAGGCTCCATGTGCTGTGCACAAATAAACTCTGGAGCAATATGCTCCATAGTTTATTTGTGTGCATTAATCTCACGTGTAGACATGCCCAAAATAACCTTATTCTGGTTTATGATTAGTCTCTTATAGGAATTCAGTGAAAATACCATAGTAATAAATGACTTCACCATCCCTCATGCATATTCACTCTCACTTTTCTTCTGTATGTTCTTTCTTTCAGTAAATGCACACAGGAAGGCAAAATAAACTGCGTGTACGAGAAAACAGGTAAGGCGATAAAGATTTATTCTTGAAAAAAACAGATGGAAAATGTCTCTTTCTCTTTACATGACACGTCATTTTACTTTTTCTGATTTACAGCATGTTACTGCATTTATGAAGGGAAAAAATATGAGTATCAAGAGGTCATTTACAACACCACAGATGGAACTGGAGGCTGCTTTAGTGCAGTTTGTGATGTGAATGGAACAATAACCAGACATATATATATATGTAATACTCCTACAACCACACCTCCATTTGAATTCAGTACACCTACAACTATTGTTACAGGTATATCTGTGTTTTTATCAGACCAATGGAAAAAACCTTTGCATGTAGGAGAAGCATTGTGATTTCTGCACATGCCTTTCATATAAAATGTTGAATCCTTTTAGGGAAATAAGACCCTTATCTGGTAGCTCCATCCTTGTAAGGGTCACTTAAATCAAGTGGGACAAGGTATTGCAGCAACTATGAAAAACAACCCCCACTACTGGGAATTTCCTCAAAGCAAAGGCAGTTTAGCATTTCCTCTTTATGCCTTGGACAACCCTACCTGTCCCAAGTAGAGAATAGAGCAGCTTTCAAGCTGCTTCACGTGGACTACTAGTCTTACACACCATATTTAATACTCCTCCCTCTACATGTTAGTGGAAAGCAATAATAAATAATGAATGTAAAATAAAATAAACATGTTAAAGCATCTCAAAGCTAAGATATTCTTTGTGAGGGAAAGCTGAAGTTATCTAAAAACGTCCTTTGACACTTGTTGCAACTACTCAAGTTCTTGTAACCAAATTTCCCCCAAACACCTCTTATACTTGTCCTCCATGATCCTGGTGTTAACTCGTGATTTTGACTATATGACAAAAAATAAAAGTGTCCATAGAAGCATGTACTGGCATCAGTAACAAAGCATAATGACTTGAATGCTGTATCAAACAAAAACAGCTTCCCTGTGAACAAACCAGCATATATGCAATAAGAATGTCTGAATAATACTAATTATAACAGGAAATTATGTTAAAATATGTAAGAATTTCTAAATATTACTTTCCTGTCATTTTAATACAAAGCATGAAATAACTCTCACTGCTAAAAAGTGAAGGTGCAATTTTAATTTAGTTAGTACCCACTGTAAAAAGCTACAATAGACAGAATACAGGAAAAAAATTGATCCTAGCAGTTACACACTGTACATGGTGTTACATTAAGTATGCTTGGTAACATTAAGGAATTGTATAGCATATCTGTACCACGCAACAAAAAAAATGGGATACCTCTAAATGACAATGAAGAAAAATACCCACTTAACTCGGCTAAGTTTGTTACTGTATGAACATAAAGAAGAGGACAAAAGGCTCTACCACATACCTCCCAGAATGTAAAATTGAAAGATCATTCAGGTCCTTCTATTAAAAGCTTTTATAATCTATGAATGATGGGTAATTTCATCATTTCAATAGACTAGCAGGGCCTAAAATACAAAAATATGTCTAATTAACTAATACATTTTAAAAATCTATACAATATCTAGAATATGAAGACAACCAACAAATTCTGTTCTTTTTACAACAGGAACAACAGCTATAGCAACTGCTACAACAGTATGTGTCCACAGAGTATGTGAATGGTCAGAATGGTATGATACCAGCCATCCAACATCTGGTTCCAGTAACGGAGATTATGAAACTATTGCAAATCTAATAAATGCAGGACACAAGATATGCAAAACACCAAATGACATTGAATGCAGAGCAGCACCATTTCCAAACACGTCGTTACAAGACCTGAACCAAAAAGTAGAATGTAGCAAAACCCAAGGACTGATATGTAATAACGAGGACCAACATGAACACATCTGCTACAATTATGAAATAAGAATACAGTGCTGTACCTACATACCATGCAACCCTTTGAAACCCACCCCAGCAGGGACAACTATGGGATATTCAACCTTAACAGTTACATCTATTGAGTCAACAGAAGTTTCAAAACCAACACAGACAATAGGGACAGAAGTAAACCCTAAAACGACTGAAAGTCAACCTACATTCTCATACAACACCACAGCAGTAGTCACCTCAGGTGCTTCTCCTACCACAACCTCCTGCGAGCCAACCTGTGCCTGGACACCCTGGATTGATATAGACTTCCCAACTTCTGGACCCGAGGGAGGAGACATGGAAACCCTCTCCAATATCCACGCTGCTGGAAAGCCAATCTGCCAAAAGCCAGAGAAAATTCAATGCAGGGCACAAAACTACCCAGACCTAAGCCTGGCTCAACTGGCTCAGAACGTGCACTGCAGCCTGGACTCTGGGCTGGTGTGCAGAAACAGCGAGCAAACAGGGAAATTTAAGATGTGTTTCAACTATGAAGTTCAATTCTGGTGCTGTCACACCAACCCCAACTGCATTACTACACTGCAAACAACCACCTCCCTTGCTACCCCCACCCCCAAGCCAGGCACCACCACTGGACACACGAGCATGTCTCCACCCTCATTAGCGCCTTCCACCCATCCTCCAGCCAGCACCTCAACCACTGAAGGCACCACGCTCATTATCACAAGCCCCACGGTGGAAGTTGTAGAGCCCACCAAGACCACTCTCATCCCCACTACAGCCAGGCCCACAAGCACAGCTGCGGTCACACCTACTACGCCACCAGGGACCACGCCCAAGATAACCCCCACCACATCAGCAGCCTCCACTCTTCCAACTCGGGGACCCACTACTGCAGCAAGTACTACACGTGGTTTCACCACCTCCGAAACACCCACAACAACACAGAGCACCCCTACTCCAGTGCCGATAACCCCCACCACAACAGCAGTCACCTCAGCTGCTTCTCCTACCACAACCTCCTGCGAGCCAACCTGTGCCTGGACACCCTGGATTGATATAGACTTCCCAACTTCTGGACCCGAGGGAGGAGACATGGAAACCCTCTCCAATATCCACGCTGCTGGAAAGCCAATCTGCCAAAAGCCGGAGAAAATTCAAAGCAGGGCACAAAACTACCCAGACCTAAGCCTGGCTCAACTGGCTCAGAACGTGCTCTGCAGCCTGGACTCTGGGTTGGTGTGCGGAAACAGCGAGCAAACAGGGAAATTTAAGATGTGTTTCAACTACGAAGTTCAATTCTGGTGCTGTCACGCCAACCCCAACTGCATTACTACACTGCAAACAACCACCTCCCTTGCTACCCCCACCCCAAAGCCGGGCACCACCACTGGACGCACGAGCATGTCTCCACCCTCATTAGCGCCTTCCACCCATCCTCCAGCCAGCACCTCAACCACTGAAGGCACCACGCTCATTATCACAAGCCCCACGGTGGAAGTTGTAGAGCCCACCAAGACCACTCT